TGTGGGCTCGGGCAACGCTCACAGCTGTCAGTGCATCTACAGGCAAGTAATTTACAAATACTAGTATACGCCTATACACCAAAAGCAGCCGAGGCGCAGGTATCCACGACAAACAACCCCAGACAGATAGGATAGAAATCGTGCCATGTTCCTACGTATATCTGGGGCATCCAAGGCGCACACAAGGGCCAAAAGCTAGTCGACACTAACACGGGGAGCCCACTACTTCGCCGATTTCCCTCAGCCAGACCCCATGGAGCTTCGGCGGGATCAGCTACTGGCTCGGCCTGGGCCACGTCCGAAACAAACCTCTCGGGTTCGATGGGCGCCAACACCTTCAGCCGCACCGTGGACTGGCGGATCTGCCCGGAAACAGACCCAGCTGCGCTGCGCTGCTTATGTTTTTGATACCTTGCACTTATACCTTGCACTTATACCTTGCAGCAAGGCAGAGTGTTTCCCTGGCACTGCTATGTTTAGCAGCTCGGTCACCACAACATTCCGTCCTCATTCCCTTTTCTGGCTTCCCCCTTTGACAGCAACGCCGGCACGTGGCCCCCGCTGCCTCTCCCTTGCGGTGACGTCTTTGGCACCGGCCGTGCGGCTGAAGCGATCCAAGACATGGCGCTTGAGCCAAAATGAGCAACCGGAAAGATTTCTCCGCTCGGGCATCATTTCACAGGCAAGGGAGAGAGAAAGAGGGGCCGGTTGCGTCTAATCCAGCTCTGGGATATACCAGAGAGAGCAATCGGAGCAATGATGGTACTGCTAATAGCATATAGTACATACAGGGTATTCAGTAGTGCTACCACTACTTGCTACTTCTCGTGAAAACACTCATCCACAGCACCGTCCACACGCCGGATAGGCTCACGCCATCTTGATACGCACACGACGCACACCTTTCCCCTCTCGGCGAGTGCCTTCTCCACCAATAGACGACCGCAGATCGCCCCTAAACTTACAGTGCGCCAGATCAGATCAAGATCAGGATCAGGATCAGGAGCTCTGCTGCTGCCGTGAGATCTCTCCCGGCGGCCATGTTCTCACCCCCCCTTCCTTTTCCCGATCTTGACCATCAGAGAGCGAGATTGCGTTTAGATGTGAGATCTGGTGGTTTTTTATTCTTGTTGCTCGATATACCGGAATTAGTTCCTTTGGTGACAGCATATATCGCCTACCAGCTCTAGATCACGAGCTTGCACCCCTTTGAAATTGGGCTATTCACCTGGTCCTTTCTCATGCCTTTACCCTGTCTGTCCGGCTGAGTATGGTACTCCGCCTTTTGCGTGATGTGGAGTTGGGCTGTCATGGACAAAACGCACGCTCCATCCACTTCAATCTCAGCCCGCGCCGTATCTAGCAGCAACTCAACGTACACGCGCCCACTTAGCATCTTGGCTAACAAGATCGCTGGGTATCCAGTACTTTCTGGTCATCTTACCGTCCCGTAGGCGCCCTCGGAATCTACTAGTGTCTTGAGAGTGCTTACGGTGTGAAGACGCCTTGTTTCCCAAAACGCACAAGTAGAGTGCGCCATAACTGAGAGCAAACACGGTAACTGAAGTTTCCACAAGTCGCCAAGCAGCGCCCCGTTTAAGCCGTGCAATATTCCCATCGTACGAGATACTTTTTCTCTTTTCGTATCCCCCCTTTTTGTTAACTAGTACTGCAAACTATGATGGTAGTGTGCTCTAGTTCAACTAAGCCGACTGAAAGCCGCAACTGACGCCTGGCCTCCTTGTTGAAGAATACTAACTAGCCTGCGCGGAATCGTGATATGCAGACAGGGTACTCTGCATATAGGAGACAAGAAGAGCGGTAAGTTCCGGGGAGAAACTAGACTATCTACTAGTACGTCGTCGCAACGTTCGTTGGGTGCTGATCCGTATCTCATCTCATGTTTATACCCAGCCTATGACTAGCAGTCACTATGACGATACCCACTAACGGAGTGTTTTTTGAGATTGTATCTTGATCTAATTCTTTCCGAAATTAGAGTAGAGGAATGATTTTGATACAGAATTTGAGAAAATGAAAACAAAGAAGATATCGAGTGAAAGCACAGATATGTTGGTACGTAATCATGTGTTTTGCCTTTATATCGCGTGCCCAAATGCCACGCGGGCGCACACGGCAGAATGAGACATCAGTGAGAGACATCCGATGCCCCTGACAAGACACTTTCTTTTTCTGTTTCTCTTATTCTTCTTCTTCTTTTCATTCTCCACTAATTATCTCAAGCTGTACCCAGCTGACACTTTCCTTCTTCTCCACGCCAAAACAAGACAAATAAAACTACCTAAGCTAGGTGAAATCAAGAGTAGAAGCTGAGAGAGAACAAATAAAAGAGGTTATACGAATTCATACGAATACCCAGAATGAGACGATTACCCGAGACACGCAGACGCCCTCTCGGAATGGCCTGTTCTTGACCGACTATTATTCCCATTATCCTAACCATCCAGACGGGAGAGGGCCCCTCATTCCAGCCCTTGGTTTGAGACAACCTACATTGGAGGAAAAAACACACAAAATAACATTCTCCACTAAAAGATCCGTCTAGACGGCGATGTCTCTAGCTGAGACTCCAAAAAGGGGGGCCTTTACCGCTGAACGATATGTCACTTTAGTCTTGTTTGTTCGGATCCGACGGTAAAAATGGCCCCATCTTAAGGGCAAGGGAGACATCGTGTCGGGGGGGGGGGGGGGGGGGGGGGGTTTTTTTTTTTTTTTTTTTTCTCTGGGGTTTGGGAATTTTGGTTGGGGGGAAAAGTAAACAGGTGGGGTTTTTTTTTTTTTTTTTTTTTTTTTTTTTTTTTTCTTTTTAAATTTTNNGCTTGTTTTTTCTCAAAGGTAACGGGAACCCCGGAGATCTAAACTCTCTCCCTAAACTGGCCTCTCCCGATCTTCGGGGGGGCGTGTCTTGTGATTTTTTCTCTCTCTCTCGGGTATCGGACATTTGGATTGACGGGAAAGCTAACACGTAGTGATTGTTTTTGATCATTTTTCTTGTTTTTTTCTTTCCTTCTAAAGATTATTGATCGCGCTAACTTGCCGTGTTCGCGAACCGATCTGTGCCTTTTTTTTTTTCTAGAACTACACCTTGCTTAGCTCTTTTAGTTATTTGATGTTAATGGGGCGAAAAGGGAGATGAGGACGCAACGCTAGAAAACTATTATGGCTAATAATTGATTCTTGATTTGATTGGATGTACGGAGCGCTTTCCTTTGGGCGAGAAGAATTTTAGGACACGGCGGAAAGAGTGCTGGTATAGGCAGATCTGATCTCAACTCTGTTTTGGGAGAATGGGCACTACTGGTATGTACTAACTCAGATCCCGCACCCTCTCGAGTGTCTCTATTATTATTATGGGCTTTTAGATAATGATATTGATTACAGGTCACCTGCGTTAACTTCCCAAGACACACCTCACAAGAGCAACAAAGTGAGACATCTCACGGTTTAGGGATACGCACAGCCTGTTGTTGGTATGAGTATCAACAGGGGGATAGAGAGCGGTATAAGGGTAGTAGTGTTTACTTTTCTCTTTTTTTTTCATTTCGGCAATGTCCATTTGCTGTATACGGCAATTTTTCTGAGACAGTCACCGTTGGAGTGTTCAGTTGAGAAACAGCCGATGATCATATTACTTCGGTTACTGGTAGTGGGTTTTTTCTATTCTTGGGGCCTTTTCTTACGAAGAGGTTGCGGGAAGTAGTGTGTCTTTCCTTGTAGATGAACTGAGAACTGAGAAATGAGAACTGATCGTAGCGTGATGGAAGTGTGTGACTATAGTATTATGGCTGGGGAGATGCAATAGCCTGAATGGGTGTAAGAGACATTGCTATCGTGAGAGTATGAGCAGGTGTGAACTTTTAACCCGGCAACTACTTGCTGAGACTTGTTGGTTACCTATATATTACTCCTTAATATCACCTAACCAGGAAACGGTGCATATGCTTATAAGACGATCCGTCATCATCAAATAGCTGAGATAATGAAGCCGCGAGTGAATGAATAGAGACAACGACGTAGAGGATGGAGATATGTTTAAGAGAAATAGGGAGAGAATGACAGTGCAGCTGAAAGATTTGATCTTCAATTGTCAAATGTGCGAATCTACTGCGAGAAGAAACAAAATATTCCCCCTTTTGCGCCCGTAGGGGGGAGCCTCGCCAACACATCCTCTAGGTAACCTACGACGAGGATAATTTGTATCGTCACCGTAGAGAGCAAGCATTGCATTCGATGAAGTTGAAATAATAAGCTCCGTCATATTGGTGTGATGACGTCTGTTTTGCTAATCAACAATGAAAAAGTGTAGTCTTCGATGAGTAAGTTAAGCTACGAGAACTTCTTGGAAGAAGTTATATCATGCTATATATTAATGCCCTAACAGCAGTATAAGACTACTGTTCTTACACAAGTCTAAATCTGTCTCTTGAGAGAATGACTTCAAACGTAATCATCAAAGCTTAATAGTCTAATAACGGCAAAGGTACAACGCAATACGTTAAATATATACACAATGTAATCTATTAGGTAGCTTGTAGAAGCCGACTTCTTTTAGTAAAGAAATATATATATATATATATAAACAGCAAGCTCTGCAAGTTCACTGATGGTTAAAACGTTCTGAGTTTGCGCTTTGATGCATTCCGCAGCATCACACCATATTGCCATAGCTCTCAATACCATCGAATTCTCGTCCAACTGCCCTCCCATCCTCAGTCCCGGTGAATCAAAAGAAAGAATGTTCATGTTCAATCAACTGTAACATTGTAAATTCGTAGGTAGTCGGAATCTTAGCTGTAGATGCATCGCCTATATGTAGAAAAGAAAAGAATCGTCACGAGCAACTGATGGCGTCGATTCTGTTATTCTTGTCAAGGAAAAAAAGAAGAAAGAAAATAAGAAAAAACAGCTTTATGCTTGGTATCCAATGAGATGGCCTGCTCTCGGCAGGCTATGTCCAAACTCCAGGCTTCAATGCCTCATCATGCTCCGACTTCGGCAGTCGTTCCCTCTATCCATTCACTCTTTCTCTTCCGCGAGCCAACACTCTTGTCTGACGTTGTCACCTCAGGGCCGGTGTTTCTGAACTTCCCGAGGAGTTTGGGCAGTCCAGGAACATCTAATCCGCCGAAACCATGGCCTGCGCTCTCCCGTTCTCCAATGGCCACAACAGCTCCAATGAGATCGTGGGTAATGGCATCGTCGACAACACTATCATGGTTGTAGCGGGGGTGAGCGTCGACAAAATTTCGAATCCATCGCGCGGCCGTGTCAAGCTCACCGCTAGCTCGCTTGCTAATGAGAGAGAGATAAGTTGACAGCTCACACCGGGTCTGGACATCTACGTTGATGCTGTCAAGGTAGCTTTCCACGATGGGGATCAGTCCTGGGAAGTCTCCGTCGACTGATCCGTTGATAATCTCATTGATTGTCATCTCCTCATATTCCTCTTCAACAGGCAGAGCTCCGGGAGACCCTGGCCGGCTGGGCATTGCGGAGCCTGGTCGACTATCATCGCCAAAGACGGTGTTTGCGCGGGATGGTCGGGGTGGGAAGGGGCTCTTGCGGAAATAGAACTTGTCCTTGAGGACAGCATCCACGCCGTGAGCTCGCTCCATGTTCTCGTCCACCTTCTTGATAGGGATATAGAAGTTGAGGTCGAAGGAGAGGATAGCTCTTGTGACTAGAACCATGAAGACTGAGAAGGCGGCGTTCTCGAAGTCGGTCACTTGAATTTCCATGGACCGAAACTCGACTCTCCATCCAATGTTGTTGTCGGCTGGCGGGGGCTTGAAACGCATGTGTTGCCAATTAGTCGATTGGATGTTTTCGAAATGGTCAGTTTTTTTCAAGTCAAGCTCTTGGAGGTCCTCCTCAAAAATGACAATGGGATCTCGAATGAACAGATGGGCAAAATGAGTAGCTAGACGGTCATCCATGCCGCCTTCCATAAGCTGGGCCTTGATCTCAGGGTCAATCACCAGATCGGGATCGAGATACTCTGGTCGTAGTCGTGGACTTGTAGAAATGTACGTTGAGTTTGAGGCATATCGCGATTTTGGTATCCTCCAACGGTCATTCTTGAGGGGCTACACAACGATGTCAGTTTTGGCTTCCAAGCAAGGGAAAGAAGGAGAGAGAAAAAAGTGTTCACCTTTTCACCAAGCTCCTCTGGTGTCCTGCAGTCGACGGAGCGACTAATTTGATTCCACCGCACATCAGTGCCAGCCAAGAAGCCCTTGTAAATGGGAGTTGCTGCAGTCAAAGCCAACATGATGGGGCCCAATGGGCTCAGCTGATCGTACAACTCTCTGCCCTCGACAATATTCTTAGCCTGGAAAGTAATTTGAAGACAGCAGCTTCCCATTCCAAAAGCCATTGCATCCATGTGAATGAAGTTGTCCGGGGCGGCTCCGTTGCGCACGTCATCGTCCTCGGGCCAGTTGTGCAAGTCGAAGTTGACGGTAGGGTCTTTCCAGGGGTTGGGGGTATTTTTGTCGTGGAAGATGGGCACATTGACTTGTACCTTGCGGGTTCTTCGGGAACGGATATTAGCCGCCAAGGTAGGGAAACGGATGTGAGGATTGGCGATTTCGTCTGGCACAAACTGTGACCGCAGCTTGGGTCCAGAGGGAGGGTAGAATGGGTAGGTGAATTGGCCTGGAACGCCAATCTGGGGGAAAGTAGTGAGTGTAATGGGGAACTCGGTGGGTAACATGTGCTCCTTGGCAATCTTTCGGCGGAGCTTCATGTCTGGCTCAACATCCAAGAGTTCCTTCAGCCCAATACCCCATGGCTTTCCAGGTGTGGCCTCCAACATGAAGCGGCCAAACTCTGGATGAAAGACGGGCAACGTCTTGGAGGATTTGCTACAATAGCCAGTTAGATGACTGCTCGGAAGCTGAGTGAGACTGATAGCATTATAGCTTACCTTGGCTTCCCAGGAGGCTTCTCGTCTTGAAGCGCAGGTACACAGCCAGCTTCAGCAAGCTCCTTGTCAGCTGCAAGTGCTGTGAGGATTTCAGCCTGGCGAAGAGACAGGAGCACCTTGGGCTCATCCTCTGCGTAAGTCACAACAAGATACTCGACCTAAAGCATTGTTAGTAAGTTGAGATGAGAGCAAACTGCCATGTAAGCTGGTGTGAGTGAGATTTACCTCATCGCCCCATAGCAGAGCATCTCGTTCTTTGCCCTTGGCTTTATTCCAGATCTCCAATAGTTGCTATCATCACGTCAGCGTCCGCTCAACCGGGCCAGAAAGAGCAAAGCAATGGCAACAAACCTTGATGCCCCATTCTCTCACTTGGTTTGCGCGTAGCTTGGCCTCTGGCCACTCCAATGCCGTTCCCAGTGCTCTGTTTGCTCATGAATTCTTTTGATTAGCCAAGTAGTACTCTCCAGACATGCTTCGGTGCGACGTACAAGAGACCCATGGCGCAAGCGACTGAGTGAGATGATGAGAGGTCTAAAGGCAGGATGCTCCGAAGAGCAATTAAATGAGGAAGAAGTATGTCGTTGACGGCACTAGTAATGACTCGCGATGATCCTGATGACAAAGACTCTGAGAAGAGGATGTGAAGAATAACAAATAGACGAGAGAGCCGATTTTTCCTTCTCCTCGGACGGATCCGCAGGCACAAAACAAGCCTTGAAAATGTCCGACAAGCTGGATAGGCTTTGCTTTTCGTGTAGCCCCAATGCCGGACGAAATATTATTAAGCAGACGCTATCCCTGGAGATCGGTAATCCGGTCGGCAGCTAAAGACAAGCCCTGGCTCGACGATGAGACAAGACGAGTCTCCGGCAACTTCCTTGAGATGGCGATGCGATGCCGTGGAGACGGACGAGATGCACTATCTATGTAGAGAGTGTGAGATTTTTTTTCACTTATCAAACCCGAAGACCCCCACTCCGGGAGGAAGGCGCGCCACCGGGACGGGGGGTCAGAATCGGGTAAGAAAAAACTGATGTCGAGGCATCATCCAATTAATTAATTGTATGCAAGATAGACTACATGATGCGAAATCAAATGACTGCAGCAATCGTCTGTTTAACTGTTTGATTGTCCAACCCCGTGTCACCTGTTTGTGAAGCCTCTTCTTTGCCTTCTCTCCCACTCTCCGACTCCGTCTTCTGGATCTACAAGCTGAAGCCGTTGAGGCGGGTGGAGGCGCTCTAGCGCCCTAAAAAGGACATGAAGGACTATAAAAAGCAGTTTAAAAAGAAGAGACAAATGAAATTCTAAAGATAAAATCCTCCCCTCCGCTTTGCCCAACTAGAAACGTAACAACATGGTCGTGGTGGATCCAGGGCGGGATTCGAGGGGCCTAGGATTTGTGAAAGCTTAGAAATCCAAGCCGAGCTGGAACATCGCTTCCTCGCACTCGGCCTGTCGGGGGGACAAAGCAGCTCTGAAGCCGGGCAAGGCAGAAAAGGGCGGAGTCCGCATGCGAGATGCCTCTTAGTGGCCTTGTGCGGGTAATCAATTAAGCCTGGATGCCTATAAGTGCAGCATCGTGGACTGGTTTGAGCGTATTACTGACAGTTGCAAAGGGCGTCTTTCTCCTCTGTTATCCGCCGGGCTAGTCCACGGCTCCAGAGTTCCCCTTTTGGCTGCTGCCAACCAGGGCATCTGAACAATCCTAATCTAGGTATTAGTTAGGCTATTAGTTACGATATTAGTCTCAGGAGAAAGCCGGGATGCCTTGACTGAAATCAATAATTCGCTTTTTGAGACCATAGACCCCCAATTGCCAGGTCAGCTGGCAATGGCAACATGCAACGGATGCATTGCGTCATGGAATATACCAATATGCTGCCCTCAGGGCAGCCAAACTGCAGAATACTAAATAGGCATTTCATATGTTTGCGCAGCACATCTCCGAGGCGAAGAGTAATAGAATAATCTAATCTGGGGAAATTGTGCTGTTGCAGCTCAGTGTCTCTCTTACAGAAGCCGCGCCAGACCTCGGCAAGAGGTGCCTCACTTCGGTTCACGACCGTCATCAAGAAATACATGAAACAGAGCATGTCTGGGTAGAGATGCTACTACAATTGCCTTGATCTTCTCCTAAGATGTCTCTGTTCGCCAATTGTTGTTACGATTAGTCAATTATAATCATAAGCTAAAGGTATCCGTCTGGTCCATGCTGCCTTCACCGAATACACCGCGGTTCACCTGCCCCGCCGCCATGTATTTATGCCACAACGTGCCATGCCATGCCCATGCCATGCTCACGCCTCGCATCCTTCGCGGAGAAGCTGACGAAGCGGAGACTCCTTCCTGGCTTTCAAAGCACAGTCGGTTCTCCGCATCGGAGTTTGCAGACCGAAAGAGAGTTGGTAAGCAACGCTGAAGATGAGTATCAGCCATGTTTATCGCCGAAATGCAACTCGCTGCTTGAGAGGCATAGCAAGTCGTACAAGACGCAGAAGGGGTTGCATGCATAACCAACTACCGGCTGTGGAACGATGTCGATGCTGCCTCTGATTGGCCCCGAGCCCAGCAGAACCAGCCAGACGTCAACTATCCAACAAGGAATGCGACCATCTCTGTGGCAATCTAGGCCAAAGGCAAGTATGAAACTCTATCGCCATGTGCGAGCTGCTTTCAACGACTGTACCTGTCAGAGCCGGAACCTCGAATCAATCCAATGAATGGTCAAGACCATAGGCAGTAGGCTGTCGGTACCAATGTCCGTAGGTGATAGGAAGGGGATGCGTTCTGCCGTTCGAATTGACTTTGGCCCGCCCATGGTTGCACACGCACGACCAAGACTCTAAAGGACAGCCCGGAGAGGGAGGGGTTCCTCAGATCCGGGCAACTTGACTGGCTGTCCACTCGCGGGATTCGCGCCTCCAGATGGCTGTGACTGGCTCGGCGATCAAGCTTTTGCGTGAGCCTTTGGCCGTCAAACGCGGATTGATGTGGGGAAGCACTTGAGCTTTTGCCCTCTTCAAGCCTAGATGATGAGCAGAGCTGGCCGAATCCCAAGGCTGTATGAGAAAGGGGGAGCAAAGATGCGTTTACTGCATTAGTCCGGGTAATGTCAGTGTGAGTGTGCGGCTACCACCACATTCTGTGACTCCCACCATCCATCGTTTGTTATAGACTACACGCTCTGGCCGCCATGAAGTTGGATTGGGCACGACGTCATGATTGGCCGAGGTGGAGGACATGGGCGGTTACGTCATAATCCAGCATTGTGTCACGAGTGCTTGGCCGTAGACGGCGATGATGAGATGGAAGCAGAGGAAAGAGGTAGAGATACAGCGAGCGGAAGTGGGTGCAGTATCTACAGAGCGACAGTCACTGCAGGCGGTTGGACAAAGAAAAGCTGCTGCAGGACCCTTGTGGGAACGAATGACTTCCTTGTGGCCCCATCTGTTTCAGAGCGATTAAGAGCGAGAGGTTCTGTTGGTGACGACACAGCGGAGCGATACGTACTGTACCTTGATGTGCATCATGCTTTGCACTGTACGAGTAAGAGCTTCAACTGAGGTAGAGAGGCTTACACGAATGGCACAGTGCATTACCGCTGCTGTGGCTTTTTACCAAGAAGAGTCCCTAAATGGCAATTGCGTGCTCTCTGTGTTCAACATGCACTTATTCATCTGCAAACCGAGGTATTTTATCTCCTGGGAGATGGATGCCCTATCAATGCAGATACCGTCTTGGCCGAAGCTAGAATCCACTGTTGGGCAGGTATCTCCCAGGTACTAAGCAGCTAGCTTGGCCATACCCGCAGGATGCTCTGCGGTACTTTGGACTGGATGAAAAGCTACAAGATGAATAAAAAGCAGGAATTTACTGAGTGTAAATAAAAAATTTCAAGAAAACGGAGCGAGGTACAATTTGTTGAAAGGACAACTCCGAGAGTTGCAGTGACAAGATCAAGCTTGGTAGCAGCAGCAGCAACAGCAGCAGCACATCCAAGCTACAGCTGCAGCGCCTCCACCGCAGCTGCTCCAGGTCACTGCCGAACCAACCAGTGGCCGCTTGAGTGACCTCCAGTAACTGGATCACCTGCTCTCTGCCCCCTCCCATCCCCTGCGCCCAGATCTAGTAACCTTGCTGGGTCAGAACAAGACTCAGGGACCGACTATTTTTTTTGTTCGATTGGTTTTACTTTCTATTTTCGACCTTTTCCATTTGGTGCCTCCAAATCAACGACACTTCATTCTCTCTTTTCTACCCTCTAGGTCGTCATTTTCTTCTTCTTCTCTCCCTCCTCCTGGACAATAAGGAAGCTCTCCAGGGCTACCTTGAGAACCCCATTGCAACCCCCGCACGCCGGTGACCAAGAGCCAATTCAGCTGTGCCTGGCACACGCACCACAAGCCCACACAACTGAGTCGTCGCCTGTTTCGAGCACCTACAAACCCGATAGCCTCTTTTTTTTTGTGCGACGAGCCGTCCAAAGGACACAGCGATCGATCCGAACTTCCTGCTTTTTCACATTCCAAGAGACCATGAACCCTCACCAGAAGAACAAGGTCGACATCAACGTGAGATGCCCCCCTGTCCTTACGTTTGTCTTGTTACCCCTCCTCTCGCCAACGCGGCCTGCATTGGGGTAAAGTGCAGTGACCGAAAAGGACGGACAGAGGTGCTGGAGCTGTTCCGTCCAGTTACCTACCGCCTTTTCTTCTGCCAGAGAATTTGTGTCGAAAAGAAACCACTTGCGGAAACCTACAATGACCATGATTTGCATTTGCTAACTCGCTGCCTGTGCTCTTGCTGCAGTCGCTCACCCCGGATGAGCAACGGCTCTTCCGCCTCTACGGCAAGCTTCCCTCTCGATCCGACCACTTCGCCAAGCACCTGAAAGACCGCAAATACTTCGACTCGGGCGACTATGCCATGTCCAAGGCTGGCAAGGGCGACGACGCCGGTGCCGTTGGCTCGCAGCACCCCGTCCCCGAAAACATCCCGCACCTGACATCTCCTACCAACGGCGGCGGCACCAGCGCTCCGGGCCACGCCCACCGCGGATCTGTTCCCGGCATCCAGGCCGGCAGTCCTATCAAAGAGGGCAGCTTCCTGAACAGAGAGACATCCGCCGAGGGCCAGGTGACGCTGAGCGGAGACGACAAGAAAGACGAGGAAGAGGCCAAGCCTGTTGCCGCTGGACTTGCCGGAACACCGATTGCTGCTGGCGAGGCCATGCCGCTCCGACAATAAACCCTTTACAAGCATGACCAGGAAATCCAATCTATATCCCGCTTACGTATGAGGATTGCATGCTGTGGTATCTGACTACGAGGATACTACAGCGAAGGAAGCCATCTTTTTTCCTTTCTTCCAGCCGTTTCTGATTTAAGGAGTGCGATATGAGACATGAGATGAGGCACGGGAAAATAGCTGCCATATCAAATCAAATAAGCAGAATGGTGATACTGTCTACCATCATTACCCTGGTCTCTCGCATCCCACTCTATCTAGTCACAAGGGTATCATTACGAGAATGAGGAAAAGGGCAAGGAGAGAGATGTGGAAATTGACACGACAAGTTGATTTCGAAGATGGATGAAAAAATTGTTATTTTATGACGAGCCTATAGTTTATTTGCCTTCCTTCTCCCCTACTTTCTGCTTGCTTTTTCTTTACTGTTATTGTTACATGACACGCTGGCGTTTTAAATCAGGGAACGGGGAGGAGGATGCAAGGGAAATTGTTCAAACTTTGTCTTCCTTTTTTTTTTCTATTGCCTCAGGCGCCATGACTTTTTTTTTTGCGCAGAAAAAAAAAAGGAAACTCAAAAAAGAACAACTATTTGAAACTATAAAAACGACGACTTGGACTTTGCTCCTTTCTACTTCTTCTTTGTTTCTGTATTTTTACATGTTTCGTGTTGACCGATTTGCCTTGCTTATTTAACTGCATTGCTTTGCGTATGTACCTTGTCTTACGATGAGAAAGGGGGGTTTCAAACTACTGCTACTGTTGCCGTTGCCGTGGCCTTTTTATTATATGGCGCTATTGTTTCAATCTATCTACCATTTTCGTGCTCTGGTTATTTTATTCCTGTGCATGCATGTTGAGTTTGCTTATTGGTTGTCGATTCAGCAGGGCAAAATGGAAGAAAGAGTCTGCATGCTCTGCCACGGTTGAGACATTGCCTTGAGAGGATATTTTACGTATTTAGCATACACACAGGAAAAACAAAATCAGATGTGATTTCAAATTTTATTGAATTTTTTTTTATTCAGTTCTTTCGTTCCTCTTTAGACATGGTTTCTTTTACGCTGGTGGTCATTAAAAGTCATTATAAACCCCTTCACCTTTATATTACAATGCCAATGCCTTGGTAGCCATCTCCCTGGCACCCTCAAACGTCTTGTTACCGCCAATAAAGCCCGCCGCATGAACAAAGACACAGCCGTCAACACCAGAAACGCCATCCAGCTCAGCATCACGGAACCCTCTCCACGCCTCGGGCAGGGGCTTCCTGCTCGTAAACGAGTCCTGCGTCTCAGGCACGCACTGGATCCTCCATTTGGCGCCGGGTGCAGTGCTCTCGGCATACAGCACGTACAGCACGGACGGGTTGCCCTCGCCCTCGAGCGTGTACAGGTGCTCCTTCCAGGGCACGCTCTGGCCCTCAATCACAAGAATGCGGCCCTCTGCGTCGTACTTTGTGCGCTGGTCAAAGGCCTGCTGGACAATGGTGCGCGCGGGCAGCCAGGCGCCGGTCATGAAGTCGAGGGTGCGCTCAAACTCCTCGCCGATGCGGCGGCTGGCCGTCAGGAAGAGCTGGTCCTCGGCCTGCTGGGCCTCGTCGGCGTCGGCGGGCTTGGGGTCGTTCCAGGCAGGGTTGAGGCGGCCGACCATGGCGCCGAGGGTGAAGCCGCCGGAGCTGAAGCGCTGCTCGATGCCCGCGGCCTGAAGGGCGTCGCGGTCGTAGCGAGAGATGCCGTTGTCGTGGGCGTCGACGGCCTCGATGAAGTTTTCGTAAATCTTGTTGTACAGCAGCTCGACGTCTGAGCTGGAATCGGCAGCACTAGCTTCAGTCTTGGACGCCGCCTGTTGGATGCTCTGGGCAATCAGGTCGCGGCCAAAGTGCATGTAGACCAGCCCCGCGCTGGACAGCTTCGTGTTCTTGCCCGGGAACGTGGTGGTGAAGCCGCGCTGGTGGTGGTCGTAGCGGTTGCGCTGGGCGTCGTACTCGCCGCCGACGTCGACGACGGTGTGGCACGTCTCGAGGATCTTGGGGTCGCGCGTGCGCACGAGGCTGCTGTCGCGGTAGGTGGGCAGCATGCGCAGCATGTGCACGGCGAGGGCCTCGTCGGCGTGGAAGTGGCCGCTGTGCGTGCCGACGAGGACGCTGGGGCTGTCGGTCTTGAGGCGCTTGGGGGCTGATTCGGCCATTTTGGTCAGGATGCGACGGAACATAAACTAGAAAGACCGCCTTCTTTTATGAAAAGTTATTCAAGGAGAGAATGAATTGGGAAGAGAAGAGAGAGGTGTTGGCGATGGTTGGGCAGAATTTAAAAATTTCAGAGGAGAGAGCTGCAAGGCGGCCAATGAGAGGCAGCGCATTGCCATCAGGGTGCTTTCACCCCCGCTACAAGAACCCCTCCTGCACGGCAAGGCTGCGCGTTTCACAGCTACAATTTACCTCACTAACACGTGCTGCAACCTCGATCAATATCATAATCCGTTGAAATTCATGTTGCTAAAATACATTAAACAGGAAATTTTATTTCTCCACCGCTTCCCTTCCAATCTTGCTCATGTCAATCTCCTCGCTCGCCTTCACCGCCGGGCCCCTCAGCCCCGCCTCGGATCCCGCATCTGAGCCCGCGCTGCCGCTGATGCGCCCCGATCCCACGCCCGTGGTGCGCATGTCTGCCGAATTGAAGTCTGAGGGCTTGGGGGGCTGTTCGGGCAGAGGCAGGTTCGCCTGGACTTCGGCAATCTTTTGCTCCTTGGACTTGTTCTGAGATGAAGACATTGTTTTCTTTTTTTTTGTGTGGTGTGTGTGTTTGGTGATGGAACGGTGAGTTGTAGTAGATTGTTTCTAAGGCTGCATGCAGTGTGAGCAATGAGCAGTGCCGGTGCTATGATAACGCTGCAACTTACGGTATCGTAGACTTATACTTCTTGCGTATATGCAATTGAATTGATTTCAGATGTAATAGATTGGTTTACTTTTTGTCCCATCTCATCTTCACTCTCCAATCGTCTTATATACTTTTCATCGCGATTATCCTTACCCATCCTTCGCCTCAATGACGTCGCCATTACTCGCGACCCTCCCGCAGAAAACGCTCCGGGCATACTTCTCCACAATTTCACCCGATTGCCCACTCGAGATCAGCGCATATTGCCATCTCAACCTCAAATTTACAGTATGTGATGTTATACACGTCTACAAAAAGTAAAATAGGTGGGTAAGAGGGCCCATTCAACGATTGAAGTCCTGGCGCCAATTGCATCACACTGCCCACCGAGACCCTTGGGTGAGTGTCAGAAATGCTTAGATTTGTCGTCATAGCAGTTAATCGAGTTATAAAAAAAAGTAAAGCAAACAATGATAGATATCAACGTTAATTCCTTGTCCGAAACGCCAGCCGCTCCATGTCTTTCGTCATCAGCCCACTTGAAACCTCCCACTTTCGTCAGGGCACCTATCCTTCAAGTACTGACACAAAAAAAAATAGCGAAATAAACAAACGCTCACCTCCACCTCTTTTACACTCCTGCCATTCGCCTATCCGTATCGGCTGAGGTGGGCTTCTCTCCGCTGTCGGGATTCAGGTAATCCGCATCCTCTGCTGCCTCGTAGTCTGCAACCAAGTCAGATACTACTTGCCTTGCTTCGTCAAACTCGTCCAAGTTTTCGGAAAAGGGCGCCGTCTTCTTGTAGCCCTCGATAAAGGCATTGCGCTTCCGCATGCCGTCATATTGTTTTAATATTCGTTTGAAGAGCTGTACCAATGTGTGTCAGTCAGTAATTGAAGTATCTCATCAAACAAGGGGGAAATCAATGAGATCGATATCTGGATGTACGAACCGTAGCAATGCTTGTGTGATTCGCCAACATCAGCCCGCTCACGCGATGGCTCATTGGCATATACGGACTCCTCTTCGTCAGCGCCACCTGAATACTGGCAGGGCCCCACGGAATAAACGTGGCCAGCTTTCGTTCCCGGATACGCAGCAGACTCTTATGCACATCCGTCGGATCCACCTCGCCCTGAATCACATTCAAAATGGAAATGTAACAGCTCTTCTTGCCCGGTACCGTCGAAACCATGCGGTTCTTTGGCTGCAGCAGTCTCCTCATCACGTCCAGCACCGTCGTCTTACGGACTGTCTTGGCCTGCTCAACCTGGTCACCGGTGAATGGCGTGTAGGCCGTCATGAGGAAATGGCATCGCGGAGTAGGTATCAGCGAGGCCAGAATGCTAACAAGATCATTGTGCATGTATCCCGGATAGCGTAGAGTTGTGGTACTTGCAGACATGACAGTTGCGACCTATGTTGAAACACGTCAGTTAGCCATGTACTGCAAGCGTATTTCAAGCAATGTCTTCCCCCAGCTTACCAATTGATTTGTTTGTTGAAACGAGGGCTCCTGCACATGCAGCCTATCTGCGGCAATGTGCGACAAGGCACCATTATCCAAGACGACAACAGAGTCTGCGTTCTGCACCAATCTCCTCATCGAAAGAACGCTGTTGTAAGGATGCACCACCACATCCGGCGCGTTTGTTGTATTGGGAAAGACGGAGTAAGTCTGTATGATTTTCTTCGGGAACCGGTCGTTGAGCCGCTCCAGGAGGAACGATCCCAGACCCGATCCCGTACCTCCGGCGATAGAATGCAGCATCATGAATCCCTAATTTCATCCCGTCAGCACATACACACCCTGTCAAAGCAAAAATATTTGCATGCTTACCTCGAGCGAGTCACTACCGTCCGCCTCTCGGTCAATCATCTCCATAATATCTTCATAAACCGCCTCACCGCTCTGATATCCATCACCCCAGTTGTTCGCCGCTCCCATTCCATTCTTGCCCACGTAGAAGTTCTCCGGGTTATAAATGTTTCGGTACGGGCCCGTCTGGATGCTGTTCAACACCTATTCCCGAGGAAGCAATGTTAGCCACTTCTAATATCTCTTCTTTCTTGTCTTCTCCCTGTCTGCTGCCAGTATTGACCTGCCCGCAGCAGGAGAAAGAAATTGAACACGCGAAAGAGGACATACTCGAGGTTCAAGATCGATCAGGATCGCTCGGGGAATATATCGCGTATCGTCGCTCTGGTAGTAAAACACATCCTTGCGGTCGCCGCCCTCTGTCGCAAAGTCCTCCAAGTTGCCGTCCTGGCTAATTCCGTGTTCCTGACATAGCTGCTGCCAGAACTGACTGCCAACTAAGGGCCAAATCGTCAGCAGCCTTTCAAATGCCGCGCGTAAACAAAACAAAATGCCCAAGGAGAAAACAAGAAAGGGAGGTCGGAAGCGCATGACTGGCACTTACTGCTGTTGCCGCACTGCCCAGCTTGAACGGTAATAATCTCGCTAAAAACATTGTTAAACAAAGGGTTCACATCAGCCTCAATCGGTCAGGAAATCTTCTTTCTCGGCAATGGAGCTCATACCGTGGCATAGCTGCTGGCGTTTGATATGCAAAGCTCTCTCTCAACCCAGAGCTGTTGTGGTGTTTTAGAGGTTTGGTTAGTTACGGAACTATAGCGAGCGCAGACGCGCCACGCGCAACTTTAGCTACCCAAGTACCGCTATCGATAGCGAGCTCCCCGCCCCCACGAGACTGCCAGACCGACCTGTATGTAGCTGCTGAATTGTCCCATAATTCGTGTAGTTTCTGTATCTTCCTGTATGCGAGTTCATAGAACACTTTCAAGCACGACAGACTTCATAGTAATTAACACATAGATACAAGGCACATGAAGAAATCAACTTCAAACAATATTTCTTTACTGTACAAACGCTAGACTTTTGTTTCTTAAATCTAGGATCATCCTTCCCTCAGCACACCTAGTACCTAGTAGTGCGCGCCCCTAAAGATACAAAAACACCAGTTATTACACCATCATAATCAAAAGGGCATGGCTAATCCTTGGGATATATAGAGTTTCATTCTTTCACCAAACCCCAGCCAGGAAGAAACAGGCGAGGCAAACCCCTGCCTGAGTTTCAAGCTTTCTAACGCCCGCAATGCTAATGATAAAAAAAAAAAAAACAATTGGACAGCCCCCCAAACTTCCCATCTCCCATTTCCTAGTGAACAACAACCAGCCGTAGAAAAATGCACTTGTTATTCCCATATTATTTCTTGTTCAACGCCTTGTGTGTCTCCAACGCCTCGGCCAATGACTTGGCCAAATCCTTCGTTTTCACCTGGAGCATCCAGGTCTCGAGGCCGTCACCCTTGTCATTCGACGTAGTCATTTTCACATACTTTTCATCTGCCTTGTAAGATAAATCAGGCAGTACAGACCGGTTCATGGCAACATTGCCCCTAGGTTCCGCGCGCAGAAGCAGACGCACCGCATTAGTTTCTTTGTGCTTCAACAGGCGCAAAGCTCCCACGCCCTGGGTGGCCCATGGGCTTTTCGACTTCTTCTCTTCAGCATCTGATGCTTCACCAGCGGGAACAAACTTGAGTACTTTTGCGCGAACTTCGTGCAAAACGTCTTCGTCCTTGTCTGCGCCTTCTGTCAAGCTAATCTGCTCATGCTTCTCGCCATCTTCGTCATTATTATCAGCAGCACTGCTGTTCGTCTTCACTTGGGTCGATGGTTCCGGAGTCCCGCCGGCAGGTGTGGTTGCCAAGCTAGAGCCTCCCCCAAGGTTGAATGGAGAGTCTAGACCCGTCGCTTTAGCGGCGCGATTTTCCGGTGCGGAAAAGGAGACTTACTTGTCCCGGTGGTCGAGGAGCCACCAGCTGGCGGTGCGAGGTTGAATCCGGAGGAAGGTTGGCTTGCTCCAAAGGCAAACATGGATGATGGCTGACCAGAAGGAGCCGTCGCAGTAAAAGATGGCACGCTCGTGTTCGAGGCTGCGCCATTGAACAGAGGCGCTGATGGCTGCGAGGGCTGACTTCCGGCGCCGCTACCAAACTGGAACATTCCGGAGCCTCCAGAACCTCCCGCCGGGGTGGATGAGCCGAAACTGAACATGCCTCCAGGAGCCGCGGTCGGGGCCTGGGTCGAGTTCCCGCCGGCATTGCCAGAGAAAGGATTGCTGAATCCACTAGAAGGTCCTGCTCCTCCCGATCCAAAGTTGAAGTTGAAACCACCACCGCTGCCATCTCCAGATCCGGATCCAGATCCAGTGTTGGATGGGGCCGCACCAAAGAGAGGTGCCGCAGCGGGAGCAGGAGCAGAGTTCATCGAGTTACCAAACAAGTTGGAGCTCGAATTTGAGCTTGCGCCGCCTGCTGCGCCGAAGTTGAAAACGGGAGGTGGCGCTGAAGTATCAGTGCCAAGACCAGTAAACTGCTTCTTTGCTGGTGATGCATCGTCCTGCTTCATGGGACTTCCACCAAACAAGCTGTTGGTCGAGAAAGAAGCGGGAGGTGACTTTGGAGCCGCTCCAAATAGAGACTTGGCAGCTTGCTGGGAAGTCTCAGTGGGCTTAGGGCCTGCACCGGCCGCTGATCCAAAGGAAAACAGAGGTGCAGCGGCGGGCTGGCTCGCAGCCGGAGGAGAAGGATCCTTCTTGGCGGGCACGGCGCTCGGCGCACCGAACAAGCTGGTTGGCGCTGCCGCGGGAGCAGCGGTGCCAAACAGGTTGGTGGACGAGGACAAGGCAGGCTTCGGTTTGGCGGGCTCAGAACTGAAGGCAGGGGTGCTGGCTCCAAATAGAGATGTGGACGTGGATGTAGGTGCAGGGGCTGCGGCTGCGGCACCAAACAAGTTAGTCGAGGTAACTGGAGTGGTCGTTGCGGGTGGTGCTGCTGGTGCAGTGCCAAACAGGTTGGTAGTAGGGGCGGGAGAAGGGGCGGATAGGGGAGCAGGAGATGGTGCTGCGGCCGGCGTCGCTGGCTTGATGCCAAAGAGAGCTGCAGACGCGCCAGTCAACGGGTTTGCGGCATCCGAGTTGCCAAAGAGTCCATTGCCCTTGGGCTTCTCAGACTCCTTCTTGGGAGCAAACAGAGCAGCCGTGGAGGCCGAAGGCATTGATGTCTTGACATCGCCAAACAGCTTCGAGGTTGCTTCAGAAGTTCCGATGGTGCCAAACAAGTTGGTGGTGGCGGTAGCTGCAGGCTTGGCAGGCTCGCTCACTTTGACGGGCTCAGCCGCAGCGGGCTTGAGACCGAAGAGCGACGCGCCAGTGCTTGGGATGGCAGACACCTTGGGTTCAGAAAAGACCTTCTTGGTAGGTCGAGAGTCGTTTTCCTTATCAGACTCTTCGCCAGCCAGGTCGGCTTCCGAAATGGGCGTGTTTGCTTTGGAGCTCTGGTCTTGCTTGGAGACTCCAAAAATGTTGGATGGTGCAGTGCTCTTGGGCGCGAAGATGGAGGTGGAGTTGGAAGTGGAGGTTGCTTTACCGAAAAGTGAACCATTCTGGGTAGCGGCTGAGGTAGGGGCAAATTTGAGGGGTTGGGTCGTGGGATTCCAGGTCTGATTGATGGACGATGCTGGTTTCTTGATAGCGACTTCGTCGGCAGACTCATCGGCTCGCACTGGTTGCCCATCTTGATCCTTAGTAATACGGTCAAAGAGGCTGCGGCCTGGAGTGCTATCCCTGGTACCAGCAGCGCTGGATACACCAGTACCGAAGCCGGTTGACGTTTTGGTTCCAAATAGATTTGATCCAGCTTGAGAGGAAACGTCGCCTGCGCCGCTGGCTGCGCCGCTAGGCTCATCGCTCTGCCCGCCCTCTTGGCTATCTTCGATGTCTCCTTCATCTTCATCAGACTCAGATTCACTCTCAGCATCGGCTTCAATGCCGCTATTCTTTGCGGAGCTGGCATCGGACAGATAGCCAAATATGTTGCCATTGCCGTTGACTGGGGGCTTCAAAGAGTTGTTCAAAGAGTTGTTGAATACCGAACGAGACAGTTTACCATTGGCGGCATTCTTGTCAGCCGATTTGAAAGGAGTGGGAGACGGGGCGGGAGAGGCCGCAGCCAGAGAACCGGGAGACGCAAGAGGAGATGCGGGAGTCGCAGCCGGCTTGCTGGCAATCTTCTCAAAGAGCGACTTGGCGGTAGATGGAGTAGCCTTTTGCAACTTGGCGGGCGACCCTTCGTTGTTGACAGTCTTTCTCTTGTTCTTGTTAGGAGCAGGAGTGACGGCAGTAGGCTCTTCTCCTTCATCGCTGACAGTAGCCCTTCGCTTGGTCGCTGTTGCCACATTCTCAGTTGCATCAGCAGTCTCCTTTAAAAGGTCGTCATCAGCCTTGCGCTTCTTGACGGACATTGACTTGCTCGGCGTGCCGTTGGCCTGCTCCTCCTCTTCTTCCTCGGGATCGGGCAGGCCATGTTCTCGTCGCCATCTCCTGAGAACTTCTTTGGACGGCTTAACGCTCTGGAACTCGTACAGCCCATACCGAAGCAGAATGATGCTTCGACTCTTTTCAAACTCCTTGGCGAAGTTCATGATGTTGAGCTTCCAAGTCTTCTTGGAAAAGATCTCGTTGGCGGCATATTTCAGTCGACGGAGATCGAGAATGCAGAAGAACTGGCGACGCTGCTCGTCGTCGAGGTCTGGAGGACAGAGATGTGCCAAAAACTGATCGGCATAGATGGATCCCTTAGAGTTCCAGTCCTTTGGCACCTTGTTTGCCAGGACTTCGCCGGTCAATTCTGGGGGTGGCGATGAGATTCGCATGTTGAACAGCTCCTTGTCTGAGGAGTGGGCGGCCAGGCCGCGAGGCGTCAGACGAGCAGTGGACTCGCGATACACGCGACTCGGTTCGGGAGTCACGCCGGGGGCGAAGACCTTCTTCATCGTGCTCTGCGGGATGCTGGGCGAGAAGGAGCTCGTCGGAAGGTCCTCGGCGACGGAGGCTTTGAAGAGGTTGCTGCGAGACGAGATGCCGTTTCGGTTCAGGGCGCCCGATGAGACTTCATCGCGCTTTATCAGCAGCTTGCGCGACGGAGCTGTGTGCGGCGTTCCCAGGCGCTTGTGGGCATATGGCGTCGCGACGTAGGTGCGCTTCGCGAAGGGCAGAGGAGGACGTGACATGGGAGTGCTGCTTCCAGCATCCGCGGCGTCGTACTCGCCGGGAAGGGCGAAAGTAACCATGGCGGCGACGAAACAGGAGGAGGCAGTAGGGGATGTGAGGAGAAAACAAAGACAAGAGAAGAGGGCAGGCGATTAGAGAAGAGGCGCGACGATGATATAGTGCTGGGTCGCGTCAAGGGTCGGTGGATGAAAACGGCCACAGGGGTGCAGAAAAGACGGCGGGCGGGAAAAAAAAGTCGTCAGAGGGCAAGCACTCGCAGACGAGCACAAGCTGCTGCGGGGATTCACAGCAAACGAGTAAAGCAAAAAAAAAAAAGACTGTGAAAAACCTCGTCGCGATTGCAACACCGAATCAGATGCAAACGCTCGCAGAGTCGTCCAGGTCGCTGCCACAGAGTTGACACGACAACCGGCGGACGGTTTGGCGGGAGGGAAGTCGAAGAGGATGGCCCGCAGCTTGTTGCGGCACCTGCGCAGAGCAGAGAGGAGGGAAAAAAACGAGACGGGCGGCGCGGCAAGGGGCGATTCAAGCCAGGTAAATATTAGTCCACTGGCAGCACAAGGGGCACGCTCGCGACCCGCTTTTCTGCGCCCCTCCAGTACAGGTTAAGCACGCGGCCTGAGGCGAAAACTGGGAACATGGAAGGGAAAAAAAAAAAAAAAAATCGGCTTCCCCATCCGCCTGTCACTTAGGTAAGCCGCCGGCTGCTACTGGAAGTGGCCGACGCAGGTGATCCGGTGACGCCTGGGCCTGAGGTCACTGCTACCACGGCAGGACACCCTCTGCGCTGCAGCTGGCTGGGCACACCCTGGCCAACAACGTCACTTGCCCGCGCAATTTTTGCCCTGACGCACCCTCGCTCGTCGCCGATGCAGCCAATCACGCTGTGGAGCTGCACGTACGGCGCGTAAGTACCATTTTGGTACCACCTACCGAGGGTTACTTGATTTTCGCCTTTGCTGCCTGGATTCACGATGCACGAGAGCCTCAAGAGCATCACGGAACACTCACTGATTTACAAGTGATGAATGAAATAAGTAACAAAGAAGGGGGGGGGGAGGGATAGACAGTTAGACACGCGACGGAATGAAAGAGTTTTCAAAATAGTTAGCAATACTATCGGTAAATATTCATGACCTATCCCTAATCAAATCCTACAATTAATAGATGAAATCAAACGAGCGTGTTGCCAGATTTTCTTATCTGTGTCGTCTGGTGCCGGGCCTTGAAGAGCACAGAGGCTCAAGCCACATGGCATTATGACGACCAGCGGGAATAAGGTCCCAATAACAAGGGGTAAACGGAAGTACAGTACTGTGGCCCATTTGGCAAGGGAAGAAGAGCAAAGAAGCGCATGCCAAAGACAAAGAAGAAAGAAAAAAAATTCCCCATATTCCGATTCAAAAGTTGTTGTCCACAAGGCCATTCCGTTACTTTCTCATTCTCTTCTCGCGATCCTCCAGGTACTCTTCATCAGAAGCGTCCAAGATATCGTACTCTTCATCGGTCATGAAGCCGTCGTCCGATCCGTCCCACTCATACTCTCCTCCGCTGGCGGCCACAGATTCGGTCTCCGTGGCTCTCTCCTCTGCAGCGACAGATTGATTTTGAACCTCTGCGTGCATGCTAGCGGCAGGCGACTCCTTGTCAAGCTTGGGGAAGATCATGACGCTGCCAGACTGGGCATCCTCCTCCTTCTTGGGCTCCTCGACCGTAGTCGTTGGCAGAGCCTCAGGCGGGGGCATTCGCACACTGACGTCGCACCAGAGACGGTGACCAAACTTGAATCCTTCAGGAGTAGTCAAGCGCCAGTAGGAGATGATCTGGCCAGCGCGAGCAGGAGTGCGGAGGAGCACGGTGAAGGGGAACTCGTTGCCCGGGGCGAGAGGGGCATAGCAGACTGTTGACTCTGAAGCTGAAACAAGCTCTGAGATACCAGCGGGGTGAGCGGAATCAACGTGGCCCATGTAGTCACCGCCAACAAACTTGACGGAGCAGCCAGCAGGCCAAGTAGTGGTGCCCTCGTTGCGAAGCACCCAGGTCTGCTCAAAGACGTGGTTGGGAGGCATGATGGTGCCATCGGATACGGAGTCGCGAAGGAAGACGGCACGGAGGTCTTGCTCATTAACAGATGCTGCAACCTCGGCGACCTTCTCCTCCTTGACCTCCTCCTTGACCTCCTCCTTGACCTCCTCCTTGACCTCGGACTCGGACTCCTCCTTCATCTTGGCTTCCTCAACCTTGGGCTCTTCGGGCTTCACGTCCACAACGGTTTGCACGGTGTTGATGGAGTTGCTCTCGCCCGAAGTCTCTGCAGGCTTGGAGGCGTTCTTGGCGCGGTCGCCCATAGGAGGCATGCGCTTGCCATCTTGGTGCTCGCCAGTAGTAGTGACGCTAACGTGGCGAACAGGCGTCTTGAACTTAATGAGAGGATGGGTCTTGTTGTGCTCGTTGGCAGGGCTAGCCTCGCAGTTTGCGCAAAAGTCAAGGTCATGGCAGACCGCGCACTTGTAGCGAATGCCTCTGATGTAGGTGGGATAGTCCTGGTTGCTGGAGCACAGGGGTCCATCACAGCAGATGCCCATGTGCACAGGCTGAGCACAAGCGTAAGAATGAACATCAGCGAGAGGCTCATAGATGGGCGCAAAGCGGTGGCTGGCGTGGACAAAGGCAGCATTGACAACGCATTCAGAGCAGTAATCCCAGTCTGGGCAGTCCAGGCACTTGTGGCGAACGCCAGTGATGTACTTGTCACAGCCATCACACACAGCGTGGTGAGCCTGGTTGCGACCAGCTCCCATCTTGATGGTAATGTGGTGTGGCATGTTGGTACCTGCAACAGCAGGGATAAAGGCATGCTTGGGGTGGTGGCCATGGGCATCCTTGGCGAAACATCCCTGGCAGAGATCGAAATCCTCGCAAGTGGTGCAGTGAAGGAACTCGGCCTCGGGAAGTTCTGAGATTCATTAGCATGACGAGTTCTACGGCAAAATTTAGTTTGTTAGAGTGCACATACCTTGAACACAGCAGTTGCATGTTCGCATGTTGCCCAAGCAGGACCATCGGGCACCTACAGGATCAATGAATGGAACTCTTGGAGAGAATGCGGGAGCCACATCAATGGTTCTCAGAGGCTCAGCAACAATTGGCATGCAAATAGATGGCACTGGAGCATTCTCAATGTGAGTGGTCTCAACGGCAAACTCCTCTCTCTCGGGGGCAGGAATTGATTCCTCTTGAATGGGGATTTCCTCCTGCTTCTTGGCCTGGGCCTTGGGCTCAATCTTCTCGGTGCTGCTAGCGACGAGCTGACCGTCAATCATGGTCCGCTTAATCAGCCAGTGGTTCTCATCATAGCAGCTGACTGCCAGATCAACACAGGCCTGGCAAAGATCGAAATCGCCATCATCACAAGTCTGGCAGTGATAGTGGACATCCGCAACTGTCTTTTCGCAGTTGTTGCAGCAGACAGCAAACGGAGCGGGAGTAATGATAAGAGACGACTCTGGGGCTGGGGCTGGGGCCGGAGCCGGAGCCGAAGCCAGGGCTAGAGCTGGGTCACAGTACTCTTGGAACGACGAGTATACTGTTTGAGGGTCAAAAGGAGCAGATTGAGCGAAGTTTGCCGGCTGTGACTCAGGGACAGGGGTTTCAGTCGTCTCCTCGACCGTGGTGGTGTCGACCGCCGCAGGCCGGGCAGGCGACGCAGGTCGCAGGGGCAGTTCGACACCCGAGAGAAGGGTAATCGAAGAGGGAACCGTAGATGGCGTCGGCATCTCTGTGGCCGAGTCTGATGTTGACTGAGATGCGTCGCTCTCAGTGGGAGTTATCTTCTCAGTGGACTCGTAGGTCTCTGCTGCTGAGGCCTCTGGCGCATCTTCCACTGTGGCGGGCCTTGGTGCAGTCTTTGGTGGTGGCTGGATAACCGAAACACGCAGCTTCAGCTTTGACTTGGCTTTTGCGGCTCTGTACAGCTGCTTGTAGACTGGCATATTACTCGAGTCGAGAACAACAAAAGCACTGGCGGAGTCTGAGTAGCGCTCAACGATCATCTGGGCCTCGGGGGCGATGCGAAGGAAGGTTCGGATCTGGATGTAATGTCAGCACCTCTGGCATCTTAGGAGTCACCATGATAAATGTAAGATAAGCGGCGTCACCATTCTACCCAAGGATTGATGATTGACATAGTGGGAAAGATGAAAGTCTAGTCAAGCATACGTTGTTTTCAAGAACGTGAGGCGTCATCTCACGGAGTGGCATCTTGACTCGGCGAGTGGTGTTCTCAAAAGTCACCTTGAGGGTGACCATGGTCTCAGGACCAGGCTGGGGGTTAGAAGCCATGATGGCGGTCTATTGTTGTGATGACAGATTTGTTAGCAGGATGCAAATACTACAATCCGAGGACAGTGACGAAGCGGTGGGCTGTACTCACGCGATAACAACTTTCCCCCTTGAGTCGATGCTATCGAAAGCAGGCTGTTCTTTTATACGGGCCACCGACAAAAGGACAGATGGCAGTATCAAGGAGCGATGCAATGGCGATGCAACCCTTTTTGCAGTGGTGATGGAGTTGGGAGGAGGTTGATGAAGAGGAGGAAAAGAGAGGAGAGATGACGATTGCGTGGTTGGGAGCGAAGCTCTTACAAAAGGCGCCAGGCTGACCGGGTTAGGCGAGCCGGTCGGAACCTCGAGAGGCCGCAGTGCATTCTGGGTGTTCTGGGCTGCTGGCCGCTTGTACCAGCTACCTAGCGGTCCCCTCCCGTGCGCTGCGGCCAGTACATGATGCGCTGTGACGCAGGCAGGCAAGCTCGGCTCTGGCCTCACCGACTGGGAGGCAGCCGCTGAACCTTTTGCTAGTGGAGCTGCCGAGGACGTCTGCAGGCCGGCTCAGGGCAAAGTCTCTGCAACGTCCGGGTAGTACTGGGAGGCGAGCAGCGCTGGGAACACAACGTACCCAGTACCTGACAAGTGACGGTGACAGTCTGGTGCCAGTAAAGCGAGCGATAGAGGCCAGCAGACGGACGCGCAGGGACGCGTAGCCGCAACCAGTAAAGGTACCGCAGCGGTACTTGGTACAGTACCCGCAGCTGGCCTGCAGCGCAGCATCACAGCGCTGATGGCGCCGATGCTCAGCGGAGGGCTGGGGCCAAGAGAATCGCCATTCCACTGCGCTAAAGCTTCAGGTCGCCACAGTGCTAGCGGTGACAAGTGCGGAGAAGATGGCAGCGCGCGAGGCAACAGAAACGGCCAGTGCGCCATGCGCCATCGTCTACTGTCTGCGCTCTGGCTGGCCAAAGTGACGAAACAAATCCCTGCCTGCTGGGCTGGAGCACAAGCAAAACCGCTGGGGGTGGGTCGCGAGCGGCCAATGGCGCCATTAGCCCCAGGTATTTCCGGCACCAAGACGGCCAAGTGCATGACTTCAAGACGCCCCCGGGAGGCGGCCAAAGGCAAATCTGAGGCGTTAGAGGTTGGCATGCACGGCGTATCCTGTACATCAGCAGCAGCAGAAGCCTCGAAGCTGCCCAGAACAAGATTGAAGCTGGCAGTGAATACGTCTGGCACTTTTGGCGGTCTCAGACCAGCACCACAACACGGGATGCAGTGCCCGCTGATTCGCTGTCGAGCAGCGTCTGCCTCCTTGGAGCAGTCTGCTAGGCGATCAATACTACTACTAGTAGGGCCAAGCCTGGCTGGTGACGGTACCGAGTACAAGCCTGTACTTGCAAGCTGCGCTCTCTCACCTTGGTGACCCGTGCGTCTTCCGGTCCAGCCCCAAGCCTGCGGTATCCTCGGCCATTCCATTCGAAACGACTACCACTTATACTGCTAGTTGGCTGACGCCTGGTAGGCAACTCAAAAACCCCCATCACGAAGCTTCTGTTTCGCCAATTGTGGCCAGATTCGTGGGCGGCGGATGCCTGGACGCTGATGGCGGTGCGGACGAGGCAAACAGATGAGTGGCCAGCAGCGAAACCCTCGAGCAGAATTGCCAGGCTGCAGAGGAGCCACGCCAGCTTCTTCTGTCTCTCGCCTGTCTCTCGCTCGCCCTATCATTCACCCGTCCCTCCATCCCTCCAACTCAATTCGCGCTATGACTTGTGCGTCTAGCCCGTCAATATTACATACATACTGCCTGCTGCTGCCTCCCTTACAGTTGCATGCTACTCTCGTTGTGGCGGATAAGGTTAACGATTAATGATTGTCCCAGCTCCCAGGCCGGCTCCATCGGCCGCCATGGCAGCATATACTAGGTCTATGATGTGAGCAATGTGAGTGGTCAGCCGTCTAGCTTTACAAGAGCCGATTACGAAAAAGTCTGAGCTCTGGACTGCTGCTTACCCGAAGACTACTCACCGAAGACTAGTCAACATTCTACAAACAATGTTAGCTGTTGGCTGTGGCGGCGGAGCTGCTCATCGTCAAACGACGTCTCCAAATACGTGCATGGATGAAGTAATGCATACGAGTCAGATCGAGCAGATTCTTCACAGGTGGCCTCAAACAAGGCAAAGATAATCCCGACACCCGATGCTACTGTACTGCGTATGATATCCAGTTCTCCGTAGCATACCCAGAGCTCTATTTCCATGTCCCTTATCCCACATCAGGGTGCCGGGCTGTAGGCAGGTATTCGGTACATGCTCTCCTCAGAGCCAAGTGTACAATGCATTGTATCTGTCACAAGCAGACATGGCACTCGTACGAGCTTCGTGAAGCGGCCAGGGCTCCGCTCGGTGCGCGTGATGGCCCGAATGCGGCAAGATATCGTGACACCGAGCCTGGGATCTCGGAGAATCCTTCCAGCGTCCGTCGGTGATTGGTGAAAGGCTGGAGGGACAAAAAGTCCAAGCTGTGATGCGTTGGATTTGCACAAGGACGGCTGGTAAAGCCTGATTCTTCGCAGAAGGGGTTGCATGATGTGCAAACAAGGCTCCTTATTTGCGGCGCTATATCCCTTGCCCATATCCCTTGCCCATATCCGTACTCCGAAGCTGTTACATCCCGGCGAACCTAGGTCCCCCCGTCAATTACTCAAACAAGCAAACAAGCAGCAAAGCAAGGGAGAGATAGAGACACAGGTCGGCTGAACTCCCTGGCTGCAACTATGGGTCCTTGTTTGGGTGGGAGAGGTTGCATTCAGATACTTGATATCGGGATATAAGTGGGATGCATAGGCATGTACCTAGTAGTAGTTCATACTGCATTCCAGATAAGAATCCCAATCCAATGTCTTGGCCTTCTTTTTATGGCCTTTGCTTCAGTATTTAGACATTTATTTGGATACATGCTCATCGTCACACTAATCTGCAGTGCACACTATGGAAGTCCAGATGCGCCTAGCCGGCTTCTTCAGTGTGAGCTTTGTCTCGGCGTCAGCAGTCACTTTGGCTCAACAAGATGATAGATTCACGTCTGCCATATGATGTGGCCAGCATCTGTGTGGTGCCGACAGTCAGTCTGCACGTATTTGAGCCAGCGCCAGTCTAAACATCTTTTTTAAAGACTTACACTCGTACATCAATCACATCACCTACGGCAGGCGCTGCTTTGGTCAGCGGACATGGTCACGTCACTAAGATAACAAAAAGAAGACAAATGGCAAATGCAAATAAGATTTGTTAACTGTATGTAAACTGATATCAACCCAATCAGGAACAATGGCAGCCAAACTGAGCGCCTGCAATCTCTACCTCTGATAAAGAGTTTTGCATCCAAGATGGCATATCCAGATTATGCCCCAAACCATTGCTGAGCTAGTGTTCACTATTATCAAAGGTCGTCGTCGTCCTCATCTTCAGACTCAGACTCCTCGATTTCATCCTCGTCTTCTTCCTCACCAACATCTGGGCGCTGTTTCCAAAGCCATTTTTCGAATTGGGACGCACTCAACTCTCGAGGAAGCTCAACCTCTTTCCCATCAGCACTCGGTCGGTAAAGCGGGTGTCGTGTAGGTTCTTCAACAAACTGTGCCAATTCCACGGCCAATGGGCTGTCGTCGCCTTCCACAACGACTCTGGCAGCATAGGCTCTCTCGGCGAAAATCTTGGCCCTCGTCTTGTCCCCGTTCTTGACCGATATCTTGAATGCGGTGTGATACACGCCCGGGAAGCGAGCATCACGGGCGCCCTCTGCTTTGAGTTCCGTGAACATGCCGAGAGCGTAAGTGAGCCCGCCTGCATAATCATGAGCAGGCAAATATGAAAGGGATTCGCTGAAGTACATGTGCAGCCCCATCTCGACCATTTCGACGGCGTGAATTCTGCCATCGCTCTGCTGGCGTCGGTGCCGCGGCGCTGAGCAGAGCTCGCATTTGCAGTCAAACAGTAAACGCTTCAAGAGTGCTTGACGCACGACATATATCTTGGTGATTTCCAAGTATGAAATGGTAATTTCCTGTCCTTGCTTGATGTCACAAAGTGCGTGGACTGTGAGGCGTACAATGTTCGCATTCCAGCTCTTATGCGCATTAGGTCGGCAGGAGTGGTTGATGCGAGCTGCGTCGAGGAAAAGGCCAGCTTGAGGAGCGTCGGGGCCCAAAGGCATCGCATTAGACCTCGTAATACCGAGGAAAGGGCCATCGTCTAAGCCGTAGACGTTTGGAAGATCCAGAAACGCCCGCTGTTTCTCCTTATCCAGGTCCTTCAGCGCCTTGGTGATGTGATCCGTAAGGATCTGGCGGTTAGATTCACCAGGGGAGACCTTGAAAAGAGGCAGCTCCGAAAGGATACGAGTGCCCTTGGGAATATCCTTGGTGGCGATCAGGCCAAGTCCTTTGCCAGGAATGGGTTGGATGGCGTATAGACTTTCGCTTCCGACCTGCGCAGCAGCTTCATCGCTGACGGATGCTTCCTCCATTGCTGACTTTGTTGAGTTCAGTTAGTGAGGTGATAAGTACAAGATGAAAACAAACGAGCTGCACGACTTACTGACTAGGAGGACTTGATGGCGACGTTGTTGAGTTGAGTCAAGTTACTAGAGCCCGGCTCATCACAGAGGGGCTTCCTTATATGTTGATTATTCGAAAAACAGATACTATAGGTTTTCCAATAAACGATGAATGTGAATGAATAACTGGGGCTATTGAACGCAGAAAATTCGCTTTCAGCTCACATGCAGGTCAGTGCAGCTGGCTAAAGGAGCTATCAGAGCTGACCGATTCACTCTATTGACCGAGCACAAGTGAATGCAGCTGGCTGGGCCTAATTAGCTGGGTGCTACAGTCTCCAGCTGTGTAAGCTCCCGTCTCATTCACACAGAACACTAAACACATGCTCGTCAAAAGATCATTAGAACATCAATTTCATCTTTACCTGTCGAGTGAAAAGAATATAGTTATGCTTCTTCAGGCTTGTCAATGCGGTGCAGACGGAGATGTGCCTTGATGTAACAGTTAACGTACCAATCACTTGCCATTACACTACACTCCACCTCTCAGCTCAAGTTCTCCGTTAGGAATAATCCTAGTCATAATGATACTGTATCATAACTTTATCTGTGTAGCCTAGTGTTTCGCAGCACACATTGATCAGTTTTCAGGGTAGCATCGGCTCCATGTAATGCATGATATTATGACAGGCCAGATCAAGTGGAAATTTACACTCTCGGTGCATATATATACTCCATACATAGGATAGAACAGCTCTCAAATCAACCATTCTATATATTCTCGGTTAAACGAACCGGCAAGCATTCTTGTATCGCTACCATTGGTAGTACACTTGACATGTTATAAGGCCAAACAACGCCCTCATCAACAAATGCTAACGATCCCTACAACGGGTTCTGAAGTAGTAGCATTCAAAGGTGATAGGCCTGGATACGTAATTCCTACAGCCAATGCGTTGTTGATGACAGGAAACCACTCTCTAACAACAGGTTGAATCTACCTAATCTAAAACGTCAAGCCAGAAATCCCCACTCGCCTATTTCACCAAGAGCAAAAGAATAATGTCACAAAGAAGCAGGTACTAGGTACTCAGTCTCAGCTTGGATAGTGACAGATTGTTATACCAAATACGCCTTGTTATCAGAGGTGAATTTGTTCCTATAATACATGAAGCATAACTTTTCGCAAATGCAAGCCCCTTTTTTTGTGTCGTTTCGCCAATGCATGGCCTGTCATAATAAACGCAGAACCAAGTTACTCGCTCATAGAAAGAAAAGATGTATGCAAATCAAGTTTCAAGGAGACAAAAAAAGAGATAGACACACCGAATGATACTCCACATAATTCAACTCCATTTTCCCCGCAGATTTAATGAGTAAAATAATAAGCTACGACATAATGCCTCCAAAAACACCGCTTGAAACGCCGCTGCCATGGAGACAGCACAATGAACACACGGGCACACATACTGACGCACGCAGCCGAACAAGACATCCCAAACTAGGTACCAGGAACAAAAAGAAAAAGGAGCAAAGAGAAGCTGCTGCAGTATCGCTTTCATGATCCGCTCCCAGCTACAGATGCGTTTCTCTCCCCCTCGCTCAGGACTAAAAAGACAAAAGACAAAGCAACCCATCGAAAACATTTTCCATCTTCCTATCATCCATAGCATATGGTCACCGACTGCCCATGACACAAATAACAACGATTGTGATGGCCACAACAGTCGACAACATGAAGAACCCTCCAACCTTTGAGATTTATTTTTCATCAAGGAAACCAGGAACCCACAAGAAAAGCACACACACCAGGTATTCTTGGAGCTCCCAACTGGCCAATCCAGAATCCATAATTCGAGAATGATCAATAACAATACGTTTAAAAAAAAAAAAAAAAAAAAAAAAGAACCGCGAAGATGAAACAATAAAAAAAATCATGATTTTGAGCACTCGAACCACCCAGCCACGACAAGGGGATATGAATGATACGTGGAGACCCAACCCATGACACCATAGGGATTAAAAAAAAAAAAACAAGAGGAAGAGAGAAAAGAACCATAATAGATTGCGTGGGAATGAGTGAGATGTTGAGAGGGCCGTGAGGATGATATTAAAGTTGATATGCAATATGCGCTGAGAAGTTGATCACCATGGAGGCCATGAAGACCATGAAGGCATGAAGCTCTGCCCGCCACAATATCCACCGCAGAACCCACTGCAGAACCCACAAGCCTATTGTGAGTAGTAGACCATGCCCGGCGCAGGCTGGGGGTAGTAGAAGCCGTCGGGACTGGGCGTCACCATGCCGCCCATGCCCATTACGCTGGGTTGATACGGTTGCGAGGCAGGGTATGGTTGGTAAGGGTTTACTGAAGGTAGCTGAGAAGCATCATAGTAGTAAACCATACCATTGGCCTCTTGGGCCACGAGGTTTGTGTGGGGAGGTGCTGGTGGCCCTGTCATGCCGATAGCGGGCTGTTCAACCTGATTCTGGGGTGTAAAGCTTCCTGCCATGCCTGGCTGCCCTTGAGGGATAAACGGAGGCGCAGTGACAGCAGAAGCGGGCATGCTAGGACCAGAGTAGCCGTTAGGATAGTAGTATGCCTGTTGAAGATGTGGTTGATACGACTGCTGGCCATAGAAAGTTGGCTGGCCATAGGCATTGGGCTGGGGCTGGAAGGGCGCCGCATGTATGGCTCGCTCCGGAATTTGGGACAGCGGGGTGCCCGTCGAGACATGAGTCGGATACGAAGGACGACGTGCGTGCGAATCCTGGTATCCGTTTGCCATCTGCGGGGGAACTTGCTGATGGAAGGCCTGCTGGAAGGCTGAGGCATTCTGCGTCATGGTGGGAGATTCTATATCCGCGACGGAGATGTTCTTCTGGGGGCGAGGCTGATGCATTGGGATTGAAGACGGGAAATTCTCCTGGAAGTTGGGCCTCTGTGGAAGAGGGTACGACTGCGGTTGGGGGATATCTCCGATAGATGTCTCCTGTCCAGCTACCATGTATTCAAACGGGCCTGCCGGTTCCTCCACTCCCATAGCGGGGACGAACGTTTGCGGGGCCGGAGGAAGACGGACTACAGGCCTGTTATCAGTCTGAAGCGCAGGACGAGAGATGATGGATCCGGTGGGCGAAAAGACGCCATCTCTATCGTGCAATACGATGGATGAGCGCCTGCTGACGGCAACACTAGGGGAATAGATGCTTCCGCCATAGTAGCTGCCAAACAAGCTCGTCCTCCTAGAAAAGCCGCCGACGGAGCCCCAGGCGGAACGGGGTCTGCCCCTGAGTCGCTGCTGGTTAGGCCGTAGCGCGCGGGGAATGAATGTGAATGATCGGTCCGGGGCAGGAAATATGTATCGCGGGGGGTGGTTCGGCAACGAGATGCGCACCGGCTTGTCCCTACGCAAAGGCGGGCGATGATCTGGGAGCTTCGTGTATTGCTTGACAGGAATGCCAGGAAAGACCTTGGGGGTCGTCGTCTCTGGCAGGATGACCCGAACTTGGGCATTGCCGATATGTTTCTCAGTCGATAGGGTCCTATTGATCGGAGTAGCACTGGGCTCGCACGTCGGGATGAAACCAGTGCCGTTGGGAGGCCCCTCCTCTTGAGGCGGCTGCCGAAGGCGACGTGGAGTCACGTCTGCGACAGTCTCGTGCATGTCGTGCGTCCATTGGGAGTTTGTAGTAGGATCGGCGGGGTGGTGTAGCTGACTACTGACGATGTTAGAAGAGCTCACATGGAGAAAGGGGGGTGGGTCAAGAAATGACGATAGGTATACGACAGCGACAACAACGGAGATGGAATTCACTTACTTGGCTGGGGAATACGGTCCCCCCACACCACCTCGGCCGCCACCTCTGCCTCGGCCTCTCCCAAACGGCCTGAACCCATTCGCAGCCGGTCCCGGATGCCGATGGTCATGCATGAAGAACGACCCCCGGTTGGGCACAAAGGCCGGATCCTCGTCCCTCCGACGCTTGTAATCTTCGTGTTCCTGTCGACGTCGATTGCCCTGTTGAGGCCGCGCGGTAGGCGAGGAGCTGACGATGACGGGGGCAGAGGGCGACTTGGGTGACGAGACCGAGACCTCGTCCACCGGTGCCTCTTGTACAGAGTCAGGGTCCGGTTGATCCGCAATGGACAGCCCGTGAAGCGTCAGCTCCGTGTCCGACACAGACTTCTTCCCATCCCCCTGAGCGGCAGCCTTGGCGGCCCTATGGCCAGCCCCCTTTGCGGACCCGTTGGCGGACTTGCGAGCGTTGGGCGAGGTGGGTGACACCTCATCGATGTTGCTGGTGTCGCTATCGTCAGCGCCATCGTGGTCGTCCGAGATGACGGAGCCTTCAGTCAGGGAGTCGTCATCGAGCTCCAGCGCCTCCGGACGGCCCTCATCGTCGCCCTCGTCCTCGACTCGGCGTCGCTGGCCGATGAGCTTTCTACGCCGGGGGGCAGCGGCCATGGTGGATCTTGGTTTCTGGCGGCTTAAGCAGAGACGATTAGACGGCAGACGAATGGGGCTCGTCGGGGACGGAGGAGGGAGGGCGAGTGGCAGATCAGAGAGACCATGCAGCAGCAGAGACGCAGGATGATGGATGGAAGGCAGGACAGTATTCAACGGCAAGGGGGAAAACAAAGCGTCTAGTCGTGGACGAGTGAGGAGCCCAACCCGTCCTGCGGTGCTAGACACGAAGAGAAAGGCAAAGAAACAGAAACAGAAACAGGCTTTGTCGACGAGCCAGCAGCCCGGGCCGTGCAGCCAGAGGGGCAATCAAAGGGGGGCCAAAGAAGAGACTGAGAAGAGAAGAAAGCGGGAGGCGGTCCTCGCGCACCTCGTTGATGATGCAGAGGGTCGGGTTGGCGGGCGATGAGCGGCGGTGATGGTGGTTTCCAAGGACAGAGAGCACAAGATTTGACGCCGGGCCCTAGAAAAAGTGTTTGGTGCCGGCCTGTGAAGAGGTG